TCTGGCAGACAGATCTCTGGCAAAGACTTTGGAGCCTTGGTTCCGCTCGATCGCTTCTTCAATACGAGCTGTATTGAAGTTGCGTAAGTCCCGCCGCATGCATTTGGAGATCTGTCTGTTCAGATGCCTGTATGCTGTCAAGTCTGTTGAAGAATGTAGCTTCATCTCCCGTCTAACAGCCATGAGATTAAGAGTGTGATCGGAGAGTTTTTGTATTCTTCTGCGGCGGGTCTTGCAGAACTTAGCTCCAACCGCATGGACAGTTTCCACGAGCTTGTCATTCATATCGTCCACTTCATTGCAGTCTTCCAGGCACTGAAAACGGTTTTGTAACTCGAGCTGAAAGGTTTCGGGACTTTGGAACAGAGCACGAGGGGGACGGAGCGTTGACTTCATTAGACGAGACCTCTCCAACTTAACGTTTAGGTTCAGTGTGCCTCTAACCATTCGATGATCGCTACCAGTTTTCACCCTCGCGATCACAGAGACATCACTGAACAGTTGTCGTCTGGTCGTCATAATGAAGTCAATCTCATTTTTTGTGGAACCGTCGGGGCTCGACCAGGTCCACTTGCTGTGGGGCCGCTTCTGGAAGAAAGAGTTCATCATAAAGAGTCCCTCTTTCTCCATGAAGTCGGCCAGCTGCTGGCCCCTTGGGTTCCGTTGCCCTATTCCAAATTTCCCTACTTTCAGCTCACCGTTCTCTCTTGTGCCTAGTTTTGCATTGAAGTCTCCCATTAACACCGTATATTGGGTTTTGGAGGAATGCATGGCTCTAGAGATATCCTCATACATTTCCTCCACCTCCTCATCGGGGTGTGCCGAGGTTGGTGCGTAAACCTGTATGACCTTCAGCGAATACCGTTTGGTGATTCTGAGTATAAGGTACGCAACCCTCGTCGACACACTCCCGATTTTTACAACGTTGTTAACGAGAGACTTGTGGACGATAAATCCGACACCTCCTTGGGACAGATGGTCGCCCTCCCGGTGATAGAGCAAGTTGCCGGATTCGAGGATTACCGTGTCCTCCCCCTCTCTTCGGACTTCGGATAATCCTATAATATGCCAGCGCAACTTGTCTATCTCTTCTTCCAGCTCCACGATCTTCTCGTCAGTCCTCAGGGTGCGTGCGTTGTACGTTGCCAGGTCGAGTCGTCTAAGGTGGCAACCGAACCTCCACCGGAGATTCTTAGCACCCCCTGCCCCGCCGTTACCATGGTCGCCACCGTAGCCAGGAATAGCGGGGCCGCCGCTTTTAATAATACTTCCTGACAATTTAATCGCGTTTGTTGAATTGCTTGACCAAACATTTCGCGAATACTTTGACCTCGAAAGAAACATTGTAAATATTGGTAGTGAAATATTAAATGTGTGCAAGAATTTATAACGTACGTGGGGGTAATATGATCATCCGACTAATATGGTCACTTTCTTATAACTCAAATACTACAGCCTCATTTGCATAGACGCTTTTGTGATACGATAGCTCTTCATCAGTCATTCAATTAATAAAGGGTCAAAAGGGTGCCGCTTTACCGACGCCATTTTGACAATTGATATTATAGAAAATATTTTAGTCGATTTTAGTATTGGATAGTGTAGTTAGTTTTTTTTAAGTGTTCCTAATTATTGCCAAGGCTTGTTTGCTATTTTTTTCTGTCCTCCTCCTAGTTTTAGTTTTATAGGGCGGCAAAGCTTCAAGAGACCATATTACCCTCACGTACCTTATTTGTTATGAAATGCGAGTGCTTTCCAATAGATTATTTAAAAAAAAATTACATTAAATTTAGAATTTACCATTTAATTAAAAGCCACAACAAATAGTTGAAGAACAATAATTTAAAGTAAAATATTTAGAATACGTAGTTTGTAAAACAATTTTATATTTTAAGCATCTATTAAAATGCTGATAAATGTTTTGTTTATTTAATTTTATCCTCCTTTTTTTTACATGGGGAAATGCCTACACATACCCGCCTCGCGGGGGCAAGGACGGGTTATGTCGGACTCGCACCGACTAAAACCCCATGGTGCTCCACCTTCGCCGCATATTGGTAGGGCCACGGGAACGCTTTTGCACACATCCGCGGCCCCACCAGCGCCGCTCGCCCCATGGCAGCCCTTTCTCGAGAGAGGACCTCTCCTTCCCACTCTCCCTCTCAGGCAAAGCGCACCAGGAACACAAGGCACGCCCCCCTCCACGGCCTCCAACTCCACCTGCGTATCGGACCCCCCCCGAGTTAGATACGCGGAAGCCATGGGGCCAGGAAAATCGAGCGCTTAGTAGCACCCGCTTTCCCGACCCCAGCGGCGGATCTGGTCTCTGGCTCCGCCGCCAACCAAGTTTCGGCCGCGGACTGTAGAAAGAGCGGCAATACCGACACTCCTCTCCCCCCAAGGTCCCACCACCACCACATCAACGGTGCGGCCCCGTCTGAGTCGCGAAGGATAGGGCGAGTGGCGCATCGCCATACCAACACGCCTCCTCCTCCGCGACTCCACCTCGGCTGCAGTGGTAGGGGGAGAATATACTCCTCTCACCGCAGTCCACCGACACACATCCGAAGTGGGCTTGCCAAGCCCACTCGGCGTAGTCACTTCGGGCCGGCCCATCACCACGAGCCAGCCAAGGGATTCCTCTTTGTTCACCGCGGGTGACCAAGCCACGGCTACTAAGCCCCCTCGCCACGACAAGGCGGGAACCCGTTCGGGGGCGTAATTTTATCCTCCTGTGCCAACTCTACCAAAATAGTTAAAAATTTTGCCAGCTCCTTAGAAGCTTTGCCTCTGTACAATTTCTTTACTTATGTGCTATAGTTACATTTTTCCGTTTCAATAATCAAAGACTGATAGAAATATTTAAACATCACATTGGTCTACCGTTTGAAGGGCTTACCCACTACCTGAGTTAAGTGGGTTCATAGGAAAAAAAAAGCTGACTGTTTCAACAACGTTTTGGCAGTTAAATTTTGAGAGTTAGCAAATATTTGTTGTGTTTTTAAATAAATAGAAGCTATTTTATTTCTAAAAATGGATTTGTTCAGTGATGAAAGTGATAATGAAATGTATGAGATCGGGGTTTTTGATTTTGGAGGTATCGTAGATACTGAAAATCGCCAAGTTTATACTCGAATAAATTAAAGAAGTGAATTTTTGGACTCTGAATTTACATAGAGTCTGGTTAAATAAAACGTCCGTGGATAAGTTAATTTTGAAAATAACACCAGCCTTAAAAGTAATTTCTTCGTGGTGAGTAAAGAAACTTGTGAACAATTTTTTTATATATGTATTATGTATGGTCGAAATATACCACCCAACATTATTTTAGTCAATAAACATGAATGTCAATTATTGTAACATTAATTGAAACCATTACATAACAATCATAATATTTTAAATACATCGTAAGATTTTATTGTTAAAGGTGACGAAATTTACTTCGAAGGAAAAACAAAAGTAGGGGCGCATTAACCATAGTTATCATGAGCTATCTGTCTTTTGTCTCGGCTAAGCTTTTGAACGTTACGATATTGAGACGATAGTAACAAATAGTTTAAACTATTAACCTTGGGAATTGATAGCGACCGTTAGTTTATTTTGGAGATGACACGGACAGTGTCATTGCTTAAAAGACAAGCATACAAGCCAAGCCAAAAATCTTAATAAAAAAATCTGACGTCAGCCCATAGACTTAGTATGTGTGGTATATATTGTTTTGTTGTGTGAATTCGCGATGTTATCGAGTGACACGGAATCAAGTGAGGACAGTGATTATGTATACCGAAAGAAAAAGTATATATTATTATATCTTAAGCACAGAAAAAAACGTGCAAAACGAAGATTTTGGTTATGTCGGCACATTCGAGAAAAAACGTTGAAAGGGCAATATAGGCTATTCAATCATTTGGACGACGAAAATTTTAAGAACTATTACAGGGTTAGCAGAGAACAATTTCAAGAACTTTTGTCATTTGTAAAGGCCGACATTTTAAAATTTAAATTTTAAAACAGCAGCGTCGAGACCGTTTCAAACTAGTCGGCGAGACCGCGACGCAGCGGACACATGTTACTCGTTTGGTCCGCTCCGCTCAACTCTTTTTCGGTGGAAACACTACTTTGAAAATTCAATTGCGAGTTGAAAGGACTCATTAATGACTCCGGTCCAAGTCCGCAGCTCATTTTTACTCTTTTCGCCCTCGTTGTCATTTACACTCGACTCTTTGTTGGTGGAAACACATGTATGCAGTTTTGTATTGCGAGGTAAAAGGAGTAATTAATGGGTCCGTTCCGCTCGCGGTGGAAACCGGGCTTATGGGGGTTTTGTCGGGAACTTGACCGGCGGCGGTTTGCTGCTCCTGTATTATAGTTGAAATAATAGTTTGAAGTGGTATTTGCTATGTAAAAGCGGTGCGATTTCATGTACTAACTGTCTACGCATGTGAACTATTAGTGGAAACGGTGAAACAAGTGCTCTGATGGTGATGGATTCTAAAGATAAGCTGTTTGTTTGTATAGGCGCCTTTAGATACCATCGCCAACTGTCAGCTGTCTGCTGGCTCAAGTTGCCGTCAAAATCTTCCAAGGGCTGCACAATGTGACGCATCAACATATTGTGAAGCAGTGAAATTCTATATATTCAAAATAAAAAAGATAAGGCTGTATGGCATAGTTCCTTTGCCTGCTCTTTCGAGCGAATAATAAAAACAACAACATTAATGTTTAATGTCAATGTCATAAATGGTTATAATCATAATCATAGATAAATATATATGTAGGGTTATAATAAATAAATGGCTCTTTGATCTCCATACGGTATTTTATTTTCCGATAACAACAAATCTAAACAAATACAAAGTACAAATTTTATCGCGTAAAAATTGTTTTCTTTCTTAAGTTATGGAAATAAACTTAGGTTGTTTATTTTTTTCAATTTAATTGTTTTGTTTACGTGATAACTATTTGAAAAACTAATGAATTTATTATACTATTAAAGTATAATGTCTCTATTAATAAAAAGTGTAGTGCCATTTCCAATATTAGCATTGAGGTCCATCCAATGTACGGCTCCAGAGAGTCTTTGTATTTTGCGAAGGTATTTCTTTCACTTTATAATATCATATTTGTGTACAGCCATATTGTGAATGTGAACTACAATGTTTTATTATTTTGTTCCACGCTATATACGAATTATATTTTTTGTTTTAAGAAAAACCTTAACATTAAAATTACATTTCTATTTCTTTTTAGGTACAGTCACCAGAAACCACAGTGTTATGATATAGTTGTTATTGGTGGAGGCATTGTGGGATCAGCCTCTGCTAGGGAATTAATTTTAAGGAAGCCAATGTTAAAAATAGCGATAGTTGATAAAGAAAATCGGTTTGCATTTCACCAAAGTGGTAATAACAGTGGTGTGATACATGCTGGTATTTATTACAAGCCTGGATCCTTGAAGGCCAAATTATGCGTGGAAGGACTCAAATTGTCTTATGAGTACTTTGATAAGAAAGGCATAAAATATTCTAAATGTGGTAAACTAATAGTTGCTACACAAAGATCTGAAGTGCCTCGGCTTCTTGATTTATATGATAGAGGAATCAAAAATGGTGTAAAGGATATAAAACTGTTAGACTCAAAAGAAATGCGTGAATTAGAGCCAAATTGCAAGGGCTTAGAAGCATTGTGGTCACCACATACTGGCATTGTAGATTGGGGTAAAGTGACCAATTCATATGTGAAGGATTTCGAAGAATGTGGTGGTAAGAGTTACTTGAACTATGAAGTGAACAAATTTACAGAGGCTGAGGATGCTGAATATCCTGTAATGATAATTAGTTCAAAGGGTCATACAATACAAGCCAAATATGTACTGACATGCTGTGGCTTACATTCTGATACTGTAGCTGTTTTAACTGGATGCCCAGAAGAGCCAAAAATCATTCCATTTAGAGGCGAATATTTATATTTAGTACCTGGTAAAAGTAAAATTGCTAGTGCCAATATATATCCTGTACCAGATCCCAGATTTCCATTTCTTGGTGTACATTTAACACCAAGGATCGATGGTAGAGTGATTGTGGGACCAAATGCAATTTTAGCATTTTGTAAAGAAGGGTACAGGTAAGCTAATTTTAATATTCTTAAAGTTTAAAAATATTTTAGTTGATTAATTTAACTATGTTAAAATCAATTTACTTATTAGGTGGGGTGATGTTAATATGAAGGAGTTCAAAGATATAATTGGCTTTTCTGGATTTCGGAAAATGGCTTTCAAATATGCTGGTTTTGGGCTTAAAGAAACAAGCAGATCACTTTTTATTCCATTACAAGTAATGCAGATACAGAAATATATTCAAAATATTACCAGTGTAGATTTTGAAAAAGGACCTGCAGGAGTCAGGGCTCAAGCTATGGCCAAAGATGGTAAGTTTGTTTATTTTGTTTTTCTTGAACCTTCAAATTCCACCACTGGAGATATGACTGTACCTTTGAGTGTGTTAGCCTTGGTCTCCATATTTTGCAAATGGATTGGCAAGGTATACCATTATTGACGCTGCTCCCAGTCACTAGTTTAGATATTTTATCTGGCATAAACTAGTGAGTTACACTACGACCTTTGAAAGTCCTTGGATCTTTTAGGGTTTCCTTCATAGATAGTCACTTGATATGACGCTCATGGCACAATGGGATAGTAGCTTCTTTGTCCGCCTCGCACCTATTACCTAACAAAGCCAAAAAGAAGTGGGATAATGGGGTTTAGTCTAACTGCAGGCTAAGAAGACTGTGGCATCATTGCCTCTGGAATAACTATGACCCTTTATCCACTGAATAATGTTATTTGCTTCACCTACCTTGTTAAAGAGTTTGAGGCATTCACAGATTAGTTGTGTAGTGGCGGTGTAAGGTATAATATATGAGGCGACAGAGGGAAACTGAAACAACTCAAAATAATAAAAAAATGCAATTGACTACTAGTGTCAATTATGGCAAAATCACAGGGGGGGTGAGGCAATCTATGGGAGAGGCTTAAGTTCAACAGTAATGGACTGATTTGCCCCTAGTTCATCATTAGTCATAACATCTATCAGGGTTTGTAAAACTGCCCTACTGTCAGACTGCAAGAATTCTAACATATCTATCCTGAACTTCTCTAGTCGTATTTTAGCGGTATTTTATATATATGTTTAAGTCCTCTCAGAAGGTCCCAGAGCCAGTACCTGGTCTTGTCATCAATAACAATTGTCAATTCTTTTGAATTCTGTTATTCAGCTTTCACTGTCTTGTAGTCAGCATATGAAAGGTTACTGCTGGACATGGGCCTCACCCATTGTTTGGTGAGTCGTAATTGTTGCGATTGGCAAGGGGATTGATGATCGTAACGGATTCTATTAAACTCATAACTTACCATTTTAGGTAAAGCTCTATACAAATAGTCAAACTCAATACAATATATTACTTCTCCAAGACTCCATCAAACAAACATCAAGAATATACATTGCTTCTTTAAACATACTAACACTAAGATCAGAAGAGAACTTAATAGAATTATCACTGGCATTACAAAACACCAACTGGGATATCCTCGGCCTGAGTGAAATACGAAGAATGAGAGAAAACATTGTCGCATATCCAGACTATATTCTATCACATATAGGGGAAATGCCAGGAAAATATGGTGGGGGTTTTTAGTCAAAAAATATCTAGCAAAACACATAAATGGATTTTATGGTGTATCAGAGCACACAGCATTGTTGAATTTAAAAGTACCAGATTACAAAGACCCATGGATTATCCAGATTTACTCACCCACAGAACAAGCAGGGACTGAAGGAATTAGCCAGTTTTACCAGGATTTGAACAAAGCTTTACAGACACATGCTCACAAAAATATCATCATGATGGGTGACTTTAATGGTCAAAAAATCGGAGAATGTGAATGGGATAAAGATGCAATTATAGTACCCTATACATACAGTACAAAACCTAGAAGCAGGAACGGAAAAAGGCTTGTGGACTTTGCAATGGAAAATAACCTGACCATACTATACACCATATTCAAGAAAAATAAAAACAGAATGTGGACATGCATGTCAACAGATGTAAGTCAAAAAATCAACTTGATTTTATAATGACCAGTAAACGTACATGAATGTCATCAATAATCTAAATTTCAACACCAACCACCGCATGGTCAGAGCTGAACTGAATTCATCCCAACTCAAAAGTCAAGGAATACAAAAGAGAAACAAAATATGCCATCATACAGGAAAATTACAATAGGTTAGAACTTACAATCACAAACACTAGTAAAGAGCATTGCACCAAAAAAGAAAATTAAACAATTGGATGACGAAAAAAACTACCGACCTCCTCGACCAAAGCACAGCTCTAATAAGTGCGAAAACTACAGACAACAATAGAAAGAAAATACCAAAAATTTGCAAAGAAATAAAAGAAAACATAATGAAAGACAGGAGACAACAGTAGATGGAAACAATAGAGAGACATATTAGACAGACAGGAGGAATTAAGAAGACGTATAAAGAATTAATTAATAAAAAAGAATGGTTTGTAAAGATGAAAAACAGCAACGGGACCAAGAAGATTAGTAGACTTAAGTTCCCTACAAGTTACTACACTGAACTATACAAAAACAACACAAATGAAAAAGAAATAGACTTACCAGACAAGGAAACTGTACCTCACATCATGCAAGAAGAAACAGAAAAAGCTATTGATATCCAGAAAAACGATAAAGCTCCAGGGCCAGACGGCATAAGCAATGAAATGCTTATGCCGTCTGGCCCTGCATCTGCGTTAATCATGTTATAGTCACAGAAATTTTCAACAACATGATTAACGCAGAAATCATCCCAAAACAATGGACTGAATCCAACATAATCCTGTTCAAGAAAGGGAATCATTGCAATATTGGAAACTACTGGCCCATTAGTCTAACGTCTAATATTTATAAGACCTTTGCAAAGATTATTTTGAAAAGAATAGAAAGGAAATTAGACAAACAACAGCCAATAACACAGGCAGGATTCCACTAGGACTTCTCGGTATTAGACCACATCCATACTGTAAGGCAAATTATAGAAAAATATGCTGTATACCAGCTTACACATTAGATAGCCTTTATTGATAATAATAGTAGTGTTTGATTCTCTGATACACTCAAAAACCTGGAAGCCTTAAAGGAACAGGGTATAGAACATAAATATATAAGGGTTATAAAAAACATTTTATAGACACAGATCGGCATCAAATTAAATACAAAAGGCAGGACAGGAGGATCCCCTCTCACCAACATTCTTTCTGGCTGTACTAGAAATTATCTTTAGGAACCTTGAATGTAGAGACAGGCATAACCATTAATGGCCGCACTCTAACGCACTTACGATTCGCGGATTATATTGTATTATTTGCAAAAACGCCAGATGATCTAAGCAAGATGATTAATGATCTAGCATCAGAAAGTGCAAAGGCCGGATTGAAGTTAAACCCGGAGAAAACAAAAATCATGACCTATGGCAACAAAGATCCTGTAACAGTGGAACAGACTCAAATCTCCTATGCTGACGAATACATATATCCAATCGAGGATATAACTCTGAAAATAAGAAGACAAAGTGGAAATGGACAGGCCACATGCTCAGAGGAAAAGACAAATGGAGTAAAATAATAACACAATGGTACCAAGGGAGGGAAAAAGAAGGAGAGGTAGACCACAGAGAAGGTGGGAGGACGAGATTAGACAAGTCGCAGAAATAACATGGGTTAGAGTGGCCATAGAAAGGCCAGAATGGAGAAGATTGGACGAGGCCTTTGCCACCTGGCAAACGGACACACAAAAATGGAACAAAAGAAAACTATATGAATAACAAATAAATACTGTTTTATCCGACTAAAGGCTTATTATACCGGGTGTTAGAGAAACGCTCCCGAAAACGAAGACAGACGATAATACTAATGATGACCTTTGATGATGGGTCAGAAAGAAATTCGGTCCCGAGGAAAAAAAATCTACTTTTCACAACGTTTTATTCCCTGCATTTTTAGGAATTCCCCACATGTTGGCAAAGCTGACATGTGTTAATTCCACAGCGCGAGGCGACACGAGCCGGCCGGGCGGCGGTAGCGCGTCTGTGAAAGGGAAGGGTAGTGTGAGTAAGGCATTGTTTCGAGCTAGATAAGAGTTCGACGTCCGCGAGAATATTGACCCTATTGTCAGCTGATTTTATTTTAAATTTCACTGCTGGTTTTATGTTTAAGTATTTTCATGATTTTTTTAATGAAATTATCGTTTCATTTAGCTGTACTAACATGATGGAGCGTGAATAAAGTTAACCGGTTCAGTGCGGGTGTGTGGCGTATGACACGCGAGTCGTGTCTTTTTTTTAAATCGTTATAATTCGCTCAAATTGCTTTTTTGGAAAATTTATCCAGAACAAAATATTCATTATTTTGCGAGTAGTTCATGCATTCAGCTTCGTTTCTGGATATTTTGAAATTTTTAGGGGTTGACAACCTTTTTTAACGTGTACATGGTACTATTTTTACTTTGTGGGTTTTAAATCATGTTATGGAAAAATTGTCTAATAAGTAACAAATAATAGCACTCATTGCGATCGCTCACAAACTCAAGTTGTAAATAAATTTCTGGAAAACAAGTCTCCTGTTAAAAAAACAATGCGTTTGTCTTATTGTTTAATTTTGCTTAAAATGGTTGAACTGCTGTCTTATTACTATCATATGGCCGAATAAACCTACGAAGTACCATGTGCTCTTGTGATATGGTATAAGGTTTATTTTTGCTTGAAACAGTTCGAAACTGTTCATGCATAAAAAAAGTTCGCTAATAAATAGTCTTTACTTTTACATTTGTATAACATTAAATAATATTTAACATTTATACATATCAATCAAATATCTTTCTTCGTTTTCGGGAACGTTTCACCAATACCCGGTATATATATTACTACTAAACATCTCCAAGCTATGTTCATTTATTGGAACAAACAGAACTTTCTCAATTTTTTGTTTTTTATGTATGTATTGGTAATGAGACTAACTGATCACAGTTATCTGAACTTAAATTTTGAATGATTAATGTGGCGCATAACCTATCTAAAAATTTTATCTTTGTATGGTATAAAGTAAACATAGTTGTCCATTTGACTTCCATCTGGCCCGAGGGCAGAGATGAGGTCTACGATGGAGCGAGTTTATTTATTTATTTATTTAATATTCTTTATTGCACACCATACATAAATTACAGAAATTCTATATATAAAAGAAGTATGCAATGGGCGGTCTTATTGCTGATAGCAATTTCTTCCAGACAACCAATGAATGGACAGGATTGCACGAATATGACAAGGGCAGGGCAAATTGGTGTGTTAGAGAAAAAAGAAAAG